GATATCAGAAGGCTTTATCCAAATCATAATAAGTCTATTTCAAAATTGAGAATTTAGGATTATATTTAAGAAAGATCTAACTAAAGTAATCACAGCAGGAAATGGGATTGATCAAGGAGAAACTATCTTATCACTAATGTGAAAGATATTCTATGATCCTTTATTGTGCAAAATTCAGAATGATAAAACAAAAGGCTACAAAATATAAGGGACTTGGAACCCAGAGTTAAAGAGAAATACTGAAAGAAAGCTAGAGTCAAGGCATGCAGCTATCACATTTATGAATGATACAATATGGATAGCAAGATCTAAAGAGGATATGAAAAAGATCCTGGAAGATGCAAGAATCTTTTATAAAGCAAATAACTTACAAATTAATAGTAGCAAATCAGTATTAATTATTATTAAAAATCCCAATCAATATCCAAAAGAGGTTCAAGCAAGGGTTTATAGAGAAGTAGTTAGAGAATTAAATAGAGTTAAACAGACAAAATTTCTAGGGATCTGGACAGGTAACCAGAAATCTGCTATTGAGTTCAAAAAAATCAATATAGTTATCAATTTCCTAAAGAATGAAAAGTTAACTGACAAACAAGTACTTTATATTTTGAACAGAGTCTTAATATCTAGAATCGAATTCAGAATGTAGCATAGTGTACTATCTTGGCGAATGTGTAATATCTTGACAATGACATATAGAAAACTGTTCAAAAATAAAGCCACACTATGTTGATTCATATCTAATAGTGTAGTACATCATCCCAGGATTTATAATTTAAAAAGTGTTTGGATATTGCAAAAAGAAAGTCAGATAATAGGATTGTGCAATAGGTTAAATGACTTAAGATCAGCTGGAATTATAACAATCATCAGGTTAAAGCAATCACAGATTAAATATTAAGAACTTCTCAATCTATGCATATGTAACTTACTAAACCATCTCTTGAAAAGAAGCAACTTTGCATTATAAGTACTGAAACTGACCAAAGATATGAAGGTAACTTTCCATAGCTGGAAATGAAATAATGTCTTTAATTGGAGTACTGGAAATAGTCCAATTAAAGATTATCTGATAATATAAGAATATAGTAAAGCTATTTCATTACTCAAATACAATAAGTTGATATATATGGATCAGCTTATTAACTATGAAATTAGAGAAGTATTAGACTGGTGAATGCTCCAACTTTTACAGAAAACAAGTAAGGGACCTATTCCAAAATGGTACTTGTCAATAATAAGGGAAATGCGAGGAAATAAACTAGGACAGTCCACAAGAACTTGAAAAAAAGATTGGTTAAAGTGAAGTCCAGAATATCCAGTACTCAATCTTAACCTTGATAAAAGACAAAAACTTTGGGTGGTCACTAAGAGTAATAATTAGTAACAGCAACTTGTTTGGGAAAAGTTGATTGTAGATAATGATAAAAGATACATTAAAATAGATTATTTCAAATGTAACAGCTTCAAGGAAAACTTAAGATCAAACCTGATATGATGCCAAGACTCTCCAGAAGGGATCAAGACTAAAAACTGATGCATAATAGAATCAAACATAGAACAAATATATATGGTTCCTTATCTTAATACTAGAAAAGCTATAAGTAAAGCTCAACTTTTAAAAATCTCTTGTTCCAAGATAACGCTAAAAGAATTAATAAGTAGAACAAGTTATATAGACTTAGTAACTATACAATACAATAGAAGACAACTGGAAGAAGTAGCGATCGAGAACTGGGAGAAGAAGCCTATTAAAAAGAATATTAAAGAAGGCATATATCAAACTCATCTGATTGAAATACTTAGGTGTAATAAGAGGGATAATAGTAATAACACAATAACCTTTTACTTTGATGAATTCCTTATTAATCATGTAAATGAAAATATGAAGATGTGTGTAGCATGGATACAAATTAGAGAAGTAGGAAGAGAAAGCAAGTTTCAAATAAGAGTAGCTAATTGATCTTTATCCATAAGAACAGAACTAGTAGTGATAGTTACAATACTACTAGTAATATCAGTTAACAGTAAGGTCAAGATCCATACTAATAGTCAAGCCTGCATCTCCAAATAGAAAACTATAGAAAAGAAGGATCCTCAAAAAACACATGAAAGATGGCTAAAAAAACAAAATTGGTCCTTATGGGTATGAATATTGAGCCTGATAAAGAAAAAATAATTAGATTTAAATCTTATCAAGGTTAAAGCACACTTCAAAATTCAATATAATGAGGAAGCAGATATTTTAGCCAAAGAAGTATTAAAGTTCTTAACAATAGAATGGCAAGATCTGGACTTACCTAAGATTATTATTGAAATTAAATGACACGATATAGTGCTGGATACTTCAATAAGGCAGTTTGTTAAAAAACCAATGTCAAAATAATAATGTACTAATGAACAATCTAAAATAGAATAGACAAAAAGTGGAATTATCAAATCCAAGACTAACATAGACACACATTGAACCTAGTTTGGGAACAAATGAATCATGGGCACACATGAAATATCTTCTTTAAAGGATCACAACGAAAAAGCTTTTTTGTTAAGATGACCAGTGATGAGCTATCCACGTTAACAAAGCTAGCCACAAGAAGACCAGACTTATATAAACAAGTAAAATGTCTTGCAAGAAAAAACAATAAAACACTTACTAGAATGTCCAATATATAAAACTCAGTGGCAAGAAATCTGGTAGAAGGGTATGAAAAATATGGTACAAGGTTTCAATAAACTTCTGACAGATAGGAAAAAAGAGTCAGAAGAAAAAGAGATAAGTCTGGTAGTTGATGACAGAAGAGAAAGAAGAGAAATGGATAAGAAAATAGCTTAACTGGTAGAAAGAATCTCAAATATTAGTCGGGATATACTTAGCTTCTGTATGGAACTGATTGAAAAAGACCTAATGTATAATATAGCAGACTCAAAGTACTATAGAAAGAGAATTGATAAAGAAGCAAAAAAGTGGATAATGAAGATGCAGAAGAAAACACGTAATCACTTTAGAAAAATTTTTTAGAATATTAGATGCAAAAAGATAATAGAGTGAGAACAGATATTGAGAATTAACAGAGATGACAAGATTAAAAGTTTGACATATCTATAAAGATAAAGAAACAAGGTCAAGGTATCAGGAAATCAGTCATATCAAGTATTATTAAAAAAAGAAGAAATAGAAAATATGATGCTCAATTAGATCTTGTGAGATAGGGTAAAGTATGAAATGAAATAGTTGGGTTTTAATCTTTGTCAGAACTTAAAAGAGTGATTTGCAATAGTGATCTGCAAGCAATGATATTAGAAGTTGAAAAGGTATTTACCTGAACTCCTAATGGAGTGATAAATTACTCCTAAAGTTGCACTTAGAAAGGTAAAACATTCAAGACGAGTGAGTTAGTTAAAGAATTAGCTTTAGTGCCTTATATTATATGTATAGTTTACAAATGTTTAATAAAGCATATATAATTAGCCTGACAGAAGGCAAAAAAAAAATATTATTATTATTATTAAATAGTTTGGATTTTAAACTGTAGATAGAATTTAGAATAATTTAAAATAATAATCTATAGACAATTATTTTATTAATTTAAAATTAATTCAAATTAGCAAAGGAATAAAATATTATTTTTAAAGTATCTAGAAAATTGATTTTTTACAACAAACAAATTAATATATGAAAATTATAATAATTTTATAAATGTTTAGTATATATAGTACACAATATGCCATGTTGACTTAATTATAGGTTAAAAAAATAATAATAATGCTTTTAATAAAAACTTTAATAATTGAGTTTAAAAAAAGTTTAATTTTATAATTGATTTAATAAAAAAAATCTTTTTTTTTATTTTGAAGTTATACTGTATATCAATATTTGAAACAATATAAATAAATAATTTAATTTAAGAAATATTTTTTATTATTGATTTAAAAATTTAATATTTATTATAAATTATATAATATTAAAAATTTTTTTTTAATAATTTTAAAAATTGTTAAAATTTATAATAATAATTCTACAGTATATATTGAACATTACTTTGGATTAATTTACAGTATATACATTTAATTCTTTTTTATTATTAATCGAAAATTGGGTGATAGGAAATGAATGTTTCACGTTCACAATTCTTTTTTCTTTTTGGACAAACACTTCAAGATAATTTCGAATTTCTTGTGTTTCTTCTGTTTGTAAACAAAAAATTTCGAAATTCACTGTCATTAAGGGATAATGGAAAATTTGTACGCACACCACCCTAATAGTTTAACCTCTTTTACTTAACAGGAAATATTGTATTTACACATTTAATAGTTCTTTTACATGCACATCTTCGATGACAGAAGATGATGGCAATATTACTAATGTTAAAAAAAACAAACAAACAGAAAACGCCTAAACATTGGATTGGATGCGTCAACACGTAGAGAAAAATTGGTTTCCATATTAGTGCCATAGCATTAAATTAGGATTTCACGTGTGACATTATACGCCTCATATTTGGATCTATGTAGCGCAATTCTGGTTGGCGCTAGTCATAGAGTTGGCCTGGATCTTGGAATTCTGGAATGTACCAATAAATTTCTTCGAATAAAATTACTAATTCGCCGTGTCATACAGTCGGTCAATGAGCGGCACTACAATGGACAAGAATTACTATGTTCATACATACTGTATATTGAAACTAAATGGGTTGAGACAAGGACAGACAAAGACAAAACTGGTTTACGTATTTCTCTTCATAGTCACATGATTAATGTACCACCTTCCTACATGATGCATCACGTATCGAGATGTTTGATCAACTTCCAAGTCCATGAAAAATGTCTGAAGCACCAACCACCGAAATTTCTAAAACTTCAAAAGGAGAAAAGAAAAAGAAAACACAAAAGGAGGGAGTTTATAGCGTTTATCCTTTGGAGGTGTCCATCCCTTGACTAGTTTCCTTGAACATTGCTTTTATATAAACGAAACGTTATTGAAAAAATATTCCTTGCTATAGTTGAACCCTCCCCCGGAATTTTTGACGCATCGCATCAAGTTGTTCGAAGAATGGAAGGCTGCTTATGATGAAGAGATCAAGAGTAAGATAGTGTTTAGTTCGTGAACATTATGACCACCTGCTTTTCATAATCTTTGAGACTTCAACGCGAAACTGGTTTTGTTAGATAAGCCGCGTGTTCCAATTACTGTCACCTTTCCTGACGGGCAAACAAGAGAGGCGACTTCATGGGAGACAACCCCTCTGGACATTGCCAAAGCTATATCAAAATCTTTGTCAGAACGTGTCGTGATTGCCAAGGTTTGTAGATACCAATAGCAACCAACGTTCCCACGAGGATTATGATCTTCGATTCTTTTGATGTTAGGTTGACGGCGAACTATTTGACTTGGTCCGACCACTGGAGGCAGATTGTACTTTGGAGCTATTGGATTTCGAAAACGATGAAGGTGCGAAGTTGTTTTTAACATTGCAAAGAGTAAATTCGTCGATCGATTGATCTGAAAGAGGATTCGATCAAATTAATCTTTAGGAAAAAAGGTGTTTTGGCACTCCAGTGCCCATGTACTCGGTGAAGCATGCGAGCGTCATTACGGTTGCCATCTTTGTATTGGCCCCCCACTAGATGATGGGTTTTATTACGAGATGGCTATCAATGATCGGTATGTCTTATTGATGAATTCTTGTAAGCTTTTACCTATTAACTATATTGTTATCTTCTTCTTTCCAGTGTTGTAAGCCAGAGTGATTACGAGTCCCTCAAGACGATAGCAAAGAGTGCCATCAAAGAAAAACAACCTTTTGAACGATTGGTTGTTTCCAAGGAAAATTTGTTGGAAATGTTCAAGGTAAATTTTTGTTCCTTTTTAATTTTGTTTGCTACGAGAAAATTCTGATTTCGATGTATGTTCATTAAATCACTTGCAGCATAATCAGTACAAAGTTCATCTGATCAAATCAAAGATTCAGGATGGAACTTCTACTACCGTATATCGTTGTGGTCCGCTCATAGATTTATGTGTGGGTCCTCACGTCCCCCACACCGGAAAAATCAAAGCCTTTGAGATTACCAAGGTTTGTTTGAAATATATTTTGTTCGAGGTATATCGACCCAATCTAATTTCCAGTAATTTATGAAAAAAAAAAAAGAATTCGTCGTCATATTTCCTTGGTGATTCGAATAATGATTCTCTTCAGCGTATCTACGGAATATCTTTTCCAGACACCAAACAGATGACCGAATACATGACCTTTATCTCCGAGGCCGCAAAACGTTACCATAAAAAAATCGGTCAGGTAGGGCATAACGAGATTGGTGATCTATTTTATGAAATGAGGATCCCAATTAGTCTATTTTAGGAACAAGAATTATTCTTTTTTGACGAGTTGAGTCCCGGCAGTTGCTTCTTCCTTCCAAATGGCACCCGAATCTATAACACGCTCGTCGATTTTATAAGGGTATAATCCGTGCGCATGTGTTTTATGAAATTTAGAGGTATTTTAATTGAACCTTGTGTAACTCGATAGACGGAATATCGGAAAAGAGGTTATGGCGAGGTGATTACGCCCAACATGTATAATACTAAATTGTGGGAACAATCGGGACATCTGCAAAATTATGAAGTACGTTTTGCACTTTTAACTTAGTTCACTGTGCGTGGTCCCTAATATGGCACACTTGCACAACTAGGAAAACATGTTTTGTTTTGAAGTTGAAAAAGAGAAATTTGCGTTGAAACCCATGAACTGTCCGGGACACTGCCTTATGTTCAAGCACCGTGACCGCTCATATCGTGAATTGCCTATTCGTTTTGCCGATTTTGGTGTATTGCACCGCAATGAGCTAAGTGGGGCTTTAGCAGGGTTGACACGTGTGAGACGGTTCCAACAGGATGACGCACATATATTCTGTCGGCAGGACCAGGTTCATTTCATTTCACGATAATACTTGTGTGTACGGCTACCAAAGTTTTCGTGATCACCAAACAATTGATCAATTCGACTAGGTGGAAGAGGAGATTAATTCTGCTCTTGAATTCTTGAAATATGTATATGGGATATTTGGTTTCACCTTTCAACTCAAATTGTCTACCCGTCCCGAAAAATATTTGGGCACAGTTGAAGTTTGGGATCAGGCCGAAAAGGTTAACTCCTCGCTCCCACCTTCCCACCGCACGACCATATTTGACTATCATTAATTCTCATTTTCATTCACTCCTTTCACAGAAACTGGAAGATGCGCTTAATAAGTTCGGCGAACCTTGGGAACTTAATCCGGGTGACGGCGCATTCTATGGTCCAAAAGTAAGAGCGTTCATGTGCACAGCCGACATTTGATCTTCTCAACTAATTCATCGAATCAATTAATGCTAGATCGACATTACAATTTCGGATGCTCTCAAAAGGAAACATCAATGTGCTACACTGCAACTTGATTTTCAGCTTCCGGAACGTTTTGGACTTGAATATCGCACTCAAACGAGCGACGAGGATCAATCGTATGCTCGTCCGGTCATGATTCATCGTGCTATACTGGGCTCCGTGGAGCGCATGATAGCCGTTTTGACCGAGAGCTTTGGTGGAAAATGGTGAAAGAAATTGTTTTTGGGAAGACATATATGTTTGAATTATTCGTTGGATTAACGATCACTATTGCTCTTATTATTGCCGTTTCTTGCAGGCCTTTCTGGCTTTCACCTCGACAAATAATGATTATCCCGGTCGCCAATAGTTTTGGGGACTATGTCAAAAAGGTTGCGAACGCATGTTTTGACGCCGGGTTATACGTTGAAACTGATCTGGGCGAAAGCACCTTGAACAAAAAGATTCGCAATGCCGAGGTTGCACAGTTCAATTTCATTTTTGGTTAGTCACCAATTCTAATTCTCGGATTCCGGATATCAGTCACGTTATTCCATATTTGCCTAAATCCTTTTTTTTCCTAATTTTCAATAGTTGTTGGTGCCGAAGAGGAGACCACCAATTCGGTCAATATTCGAAATAGGGATGATGTGGGCACCAAAGCAAAAGGTCAGACAATTCCCCTAGAGGAGGCAGTCAGAAAATTGGTGGAATTGAAAAACGAAAAAAGATTAAAGAATAGTTTGAATAAAGATTGATGTGTATTGAGGCCATGTGACTTGATATTCGAAAATAAAAAAAAACGTTTGTAGCGTATTACCTAATCAATATAATCGTATATAAATTTCCTTTTTCGTCTTCAATTGTACTTTCCAAGTAATGTATTTGGTTGCGTGACTTAATCGATCGCAATGATCAATTGTGATTGGGGTGTTGGGGAAGCATTGCTAAAATTGGATGGTGGGAAGAGGATTGCATATTATAGCTCGTGATGAGCAACGTACACAATACGTGAGATGGCAATCATTTGAATTGTTGGGGTTGTTTCGATGACGTAACACACTTAAGATGCATTCACTGATGATAAAAGAAGATTGTTTTCTGCAGCAAATTGTTAACCAACTTCAACAGTTGGATTAACATTGATTTTTTCGCATATCTTCTTCAACAGATGATATTCTTTTTTTCCTTGTAAATAATTATATTTAATCTGTGAGACGTTGAATCATCAGGAATACCGGAACCGCACGGGCAATAATGGACAGTCACACCGAGCCACAAAAGACGGTTGCTTCGAATGGCGAGGACGAAGGTTACGCCGAAGCAAATGTTAGCGGGGTCGAAAAGATTTCGCATGAAGACGACAAAAATAAAGGAAATGGTGAGGCAGTATATGGAAAGACTTCTACTGACAAAGGTATGCAGGGTATTGATTATACGAATTCCTTTAAATCAGTGCTGGAAGAAAAAATTTTTTTTTATTATTGTGTTTCAATTTCACGTGAACACATACGCGTCTTTTTTCTTTCCCGGGAAATCGGCGCAACGTGAAACGTATATTTTTTATTGCATGTTGTTTTAGGAATATGCTGAAATTTTAATTGTTGATTTTTAGTTTTTCTAGTTCCGCAAACATCCGATATGACCTCAGTTTTTAAGCTAGACACCAGAAAATCCGTGTTTGATATAATTACCATCGTGGTCATGGGATTACAAATAATCTTATTTTTCGTTCTCCCCTCACCCGTCAAAAGATGGATATTTTTGGTCCTTTTTATTTTTTGGAGGGCATCCTATAATGCCGGTCTCGGTGCGTTGTTAAAATATCAAAGTGACAAACGAGGTTTGGTTTTGTGGGTCAAACGCAAGAAGATTTTTGATAAAGAGAAGGGCGGCAAATGGTATGCTTTTTTGAAGGAAGAATTAAGCGCGAAGATGGGTAACGATTATGACTTCGATGTAAGCAAAAGAAAAAATTTAAAAATTTCCGCGTAAATGCTTTATGATCTTTGCACACGCAAGTTCTATTGATGTCGCGCATGCATTCACAGACTGCCCCCATCGAGTTCAACACCTGGCTTCTCTTTCGTCAACTCGTCGATCTCATACTGTTGAATGATTTCACCACCTATGTCTGTTTTGCTCTTGCCAATTTCAACATTCCCGAAAATTCGGGCCTTATTGTTAATTTCCTTCGTTGGGTCGGCGGTCTGTTTTTGTTGTGGTTTAATGTGTGGGTGAAGGCGGACGCTCATCGCGTGGTCAAAGATTTCGCTTGGTGTAAGTTGATTGGAAAAATCTAGCTCATTAATCTATTCGTTTTGCATTATCTTTATCATCCGATTAATTTATCATTTTGCAGACTGGGGTGACTTCTTTTTTCTTGTTGATCAGTCGCTGACGTTTGACGGTGTGTTCGAAATGGCACCGCATCCGATGTACTCCATTGGATACGTTGGTTATTACGGCATATCTTTGATGATGGCCAGCTACACGGTGTTATTTGTTAGCTTGTCTGCGCATGCATCGCAATTTGTCTTTCTGACATTTGTGGAGAATCCTCGTAGGTATCAATTAAAAAAATGGAAATTAACTTACAAAAATCACATGACTCATTTAATTGTGTACTTAGACATTGATAAAACATACAACAAACCCACTCCTCTGAACGAGAAACTTTCGAAGCCGCATTCGCCGAGGGATCACGAGAAACTTGCAAAATCACATTCACCAAAGGATCAGGAATCGACGCAACGCGCCGATTCAGAATTTTGCTTGGAAAACGAGAATCCACATTCGTCTTCTGACTTGTCGGACGCCGTGAACTACTATTTCCGTCGTGATCTTATCGTCTTCAAGAATTTTGATCTTTTGCGTTCGAATGATCTTCTTGTCGTTTTCATGACATTTTACGCTGCCATTATTCCATTATTTATTGCCGGTGCGTCCGAGGGTGTGATCCGAATTTTCCTGATCAGTCAATGCTTGGCTTGGCGGATATTTCATTCTTACGGATTGGGTGGAATCCTATTCCTTCAGAGCAAGGAAAAATTCCTAACAAAACATTACATAAAATTTGGCGGTAATGCAAGCGAGGCTTTTGCAAACTGGAAGAGGTAATGCCACTTTCTCTCTTTTTATGAACGAGTGCTTCCAAAAAAAATTTTTTTTACGATAAACTCTCTTTCACTTACAGCATCTACAACCTCTCTTTGTGCATGACATACGTAACCTTCGTGTCTGCTGCCTGGAAAATGTATTATTTTCCCGAAGACTGGACCTACGGCACCGTGTTACTGCGTCACACCTTGGGAGTGTTGCTGATCGCTTTGCACATATGGACGTCAGTTTCCATATTCGAGGTTCTCGGCGATTTCGGATGGTTTTATGGTGACTTCTTTCTTGACGACCGTCCGACAACGCCGTACTACACTGGCATTTACCGATTCCTGAACAATCCCGAGAAATTGATGGGTCACACTGCATTTTGGGGTATCACCCTTATTTCAAACAGTTGGCCTATCTTTGGCTTAACGTTGTTTGCCCAAATCTCGAACCTCTTATTCTTACGGTATGTCGAAGCTCCCCACATGCAAAAACTCTATGGTAACAAAATTCGTAAGGAGGACGGTGTGACGAAGACGATAAGGCGCGTCATACTTATTCCCGACAAGGTGCTAGATGAGGTGATCAAGATTCGTGAGGTTCCCAAAATTCAAATTGTTGGGCGCGTCGTGAAAGAGGTCGCGGGAACCGTTGAAAAGGTTGTCGAGGAAACAGCCGAGGTCGTTGGTGAATTCGTTGGATCCGCGAGGCCGAAAATGAGAAGTTTGCTTGAAAATTCAAGGGACAAATTCATGATCAGGTGCACGAGTGAAACTTTTGCATCTCGTCTTTCCGACTTAATCTCATTTCATCGTTCTAATCGATCTTTCGTATAGTCGAGTCTCCGAGGTTGCCGACAATTTCGATCGTAAACTGTATTCAATTTCCTTGATTCCATCCGATGCCAGTGTGGGCAACACGTCAGGTTCGGATGACCGCGACGCGAACTCAAAACCCATTATTTTTCAATTTGGCGAACCGATATCATTGTCGTGGACGGCACCGAAAAATCATTCTGCGTTGGACTGGATAGGCATCTACAAGGTCAACGCCAATACTTCAAAGGTGATAACGAGTGTCTCGAGCCGAGGACGATTTGTTTATGTTACGCCGGAGGATGAGGAAAATGAAACGGGCACCAAAGCCGTAGCTTGCGATGGTGATGATAATGACAATCTTATGGACGGTGGCAAGGTAATGTTTGCAGGAGATCGCTTGCCGTGGGAGGTGGGTGTATACGAATTCAGGTATCATCACAACGACAAACACAATGTGATGGCTACTTCTCAACCGTTCGAGATCGCAGGTAAATGCTTGGTCTCGATTTGCTAGTTATTTTCATAAAATTTTTACGTCCTCTTCAATTGATTTTATCTCAAACACGTTTCCCAGTAACCCCGCAATATACTTCCGATCTTTCCACAATCGAGAAGACCCTTCTCACCTTGGTACAACGAGTCCTCGATTCAGATGAAAATTTGATACCACACACCACAAGTGATTACTATAAACTAATGAAGGAGGCCCACGCAAAGCGGATCGTGTATGGCATCAAGATGATATTTGATGTGGATTTCGCGTGGGAAGTTGTTGCCATCGACGGTAACATTGGAAGACTGGCACGGCGGGTATGCGTAAATGCGTGAGATGGGGGATTCGGTATATTTGCTTTTGCTTATTTGAACTCTGTTGAAATTAGATATTTGAAGCGCGATACGCTCTATTACCATTTCTCGACTCGTCTCCCGACGATGGAGTGACGTCAGATTCGGGCAACGAGAAGTCAATTACATTGCTCAACAAGCGTCACGATGGGACGAATCACATCGAAAAACAGTTGATATCACCAAGGTAGTGGTAATCCAGGAGATCATTCTCCACGGTACGATACCATTGTGGCTTCAAGTCTATCTTATGATATTGTTAAAACCTTTTAAAAATTCTATCATTTGTAAATTTGGCCTTGCTAGAGAAAGATTATGTATGTACTCTTGCTGTTGCTGTGACTTGTCTGGTAATTGTATAATGGTTAAGTAAAAAAAAAAAAAAAAAAAAAAAAGTAAAAGTAATAGGTGCCAATAAATAAAATAAATAAATTTATAAGTTTTATACATACAGTATGTAAACGCTCGGTCTTAGAAATCCAATCTGTTGCAATGCATTCTGGATTTAGCTGAATCATCAACTATTAAAAACACATGACGCTGATCAATCGGACATGAATGTATTATTTCCCGATAAATCGATCGATTAATTCGACAACCGGTGTGCTTTTTAAAAGGATACGCTTTTTGTTCAGTCAACATATTTTTTTTCGTTCGTTCACTAAACGAATCAACATGTCTGAAATCGAATTGAGCGACATACCGACTCTTAAGAACGTCTATGAGAGTGGTCATCCCGAGTTTCGCAGGTCAAGGAAGGTCGAGAAACGTAAGAAAAGATTCAATGAAGGTCGTTTAAGCTTGTTGAAGCCTAATTTTTTTTTTTTTCTGGGATAATATTTCTTGTTTCAATTTCGCTTTCGCTTTCGCGAAAGATATTCTAAATCTCTGTTCTATTGATTATAGATCGTTTTAAACACAATGAGAAGTTTAACGAGAAAGTGTCCCTCCTGTAAGTTTATCACTCGCCGATTTATCTTGCTAATTTTGGTTACCTAACGTGTAATTCTCTCTGAACATGCTACTCATGAAGTCAAGCCGATATTACCAAGTTGAAGATCGATGCAATAGGTTAGTGTTGCGAGGCATTATCAAGATCTCGAAAAAATTGATTGAATTTAACGATTATTTGTTTTCTGTTCATTGATTTTTCTAGTAAATGCGGCCAATGAATCGCTCATGGGCGGAGGAGGAGGTATTGTTTTTTTTATTGGCAAGAATTTTAATATCCTTCATCGTAAACCCTACTTCAATTTACTCTATCTGGTATATTTCAAATACAATAGTCGACGGGGCAATCCATAGGTAATGTCCCCCTTTTTTAAGAAAGAAATTACACATTTATCTTCCCATTTCGATTATTCATCTTCCATTCATATTAAATCAGAGCTGCTGGACCAAAACTTAGAAACGAATGTTCTGAGTTAAACGGTTGTAATACTGGGGTATGTTGGTTAGATCACGTGTTTTTCATGTTTCTATAATGCAGAGTGTTTACCATACCAACTTGAAATCGTTTGTGTAGGATGCCAAAATAACTCATGGTACGCAGCATCAGATACATTCAAGTACCGAAAATCGACTATTTGCGTTGATTTTTAAACCAATTTTTTTTTTTAATAATACGCAGGTTACGATCTTCCAGCCAAGTGTAAGAGATTTATTTTTCACGTCTTCATCTGAAATCTCGTAAGTCTCACAAAATGTAACGTTCTAGATGTTATTCATACCGTTGGACCTATTGGCCAAAAGCCCAGTTTACTTCGTCGCTCTTACGAACGATCTTTGCAGGTCTTTTCTGAGAAAAAGTTAAAGAGCATAGTAAGCGATGGTTTTTTTTTTCCTTCTTTAATAGAATACATCCATAACTCTGATTGTGATAAAAAAATCTACTTTTTTCAAGGCATTCTCGAATATCAGCACGGGTATGTTATTCAGAAAATATTATATATGTTGCGTGTATGTTGGTCCTCATTTTGATTTTCTTTTTTTTTATTCGTGCTGTGATTATGCGAACCTTTAAAAAAAAAAGGAGTATATGGATTTCCACGCTACCCTGCTGGTCACGTGGCTATATCCACCGTAAGAGAGTGGTTGGAAAATCAACCGGATCTTGATCAAGTATCTGATATTTTATGTCAAATCTTGTGTATTGGTGAGATGGATACAGAGACTTATCTTTTTTATTATTATTTTACAGGTGGAAAGAATCATATTTTGTGTGTTTGAGGATGAGAACAAAATTGTTTATCAGGATTTATTGCCCATATACTTTCCACCGTCATCAGAAATCGAGCAAGAAGCTGGGGGAATAGAGGATGAGCAAGAAGTTAAAAAAGCAAAATTAAAAGATTCCGAGGAAGCAGAAAGTGAAAAGGTCGAAGCAGGTGTGTCGGTCTCTTCTACGTTTACGGAGAATTCGGAAGATGGTAAAGTGCAACGGGAAGAAATATCGGCATCGTCTATGTCCACGAAAGGTTTTGAGAATGCCGAGACGAGACAAGGAGAGACACCGACATCATCCGAGACCATAAAGCACGCTGAAAAAGAAAAATGTACAGCTGAGAATAATCCAGAAAATAATGAAGCAAACCAAAAAACTTCAACATCTTCATCCGTGCCTTCGGACGATTTAGAAAATAACGAGTTGAACCAGACCACACCCATGGATGGTCTAGAGGTTATCAGTGATGCGAACGGAGTTGATTCAGTCACTTCATCTGCGCCCATGGATACTGAAGCTTCGACCCCCGTCACATGCACGGGTCATTCGGAGAATTCACAGAATGCTGAGATAAACCAGGAAGTTTCGACCGCCTCCAACGATTACGAAGAAAGAACGGAGACCAGGGAAAAGGAACTTGATGCTGAGACTGCTGTCAAAAGTGAGAATTTGCAAGAAAAAGAAACGGGACAGGAATTGACTGCAGAAAAGGAATCAACGCCAGATGATGATGTTCTTATGTCTCAAGAGAATGAAGGAAATCATCTTCCGCACGTGCCTAAAGATCAAGAGGCCAATGATTCACTTGATATCATCGCTGAAACAGAACAGTCACCTTCCGATCCTCAAAAAGTCGATCAAACAGATGGCAATGAAGTACCTTCCTCGCAAAATCAAGAGCCTGTAAAGGGTGCTGCGCATTCGTCATTGTGAGATTAATTTGTGACCAGGCAAGATATGGTGCAAGTGACCACTTGTCACTCCCATTTGTTTACGAACTCGACAAAATTGCAGACATGTAATAATTGTAATCGAACTTTGAAAAGATATGTGCGAGCTTAAATGAAGCCCCGACTTTCCTTGTCCTTGCTAATAATAATACCAATATCAGCGCGTCCAGTTAATATGATTTCGAGGAGTCGAAATATTCAATTTTTGTACGAGTAATATTATCAGTGATAAATAAAAAACACAAACACCTAAACACTTTATTTGAAACGCGTCTTTGCATAACGAACATCATTGAATGTCGAGATCAATAGGTCATTCTGTTCGATTTTCAAGTTAAAAAGTTATTGCTAATTATATTGTGATGTTGGCAGGGGAGCCGGCATACGTTCTTTTTTCGCATGACCGAACACTTCATATAACAGGTATTGACATTATTGCATCTCTCGCCTTCCTCTTCACTTCCAAGAGTTCCTCTACCATTTGAGAGGTTTTCAGGATCAACCTCTTGGTTTGTTCTTCCGTTATTTCACGCAAATAGTCTTCCACAGTGATGACCCCTGGTCTACTTTGTTTTACCGGTGTTGTCGGTACCACGTGATTTAAAGAGAGATGGTTCGGCTTGGTGTTCGTCTTTGAGAATTCTGGGGATGACGCGGCATATGGAAGAGGGAAGAACGTTGATGAAGTTGACGTGTTTTGTACGTTATGCTTACCGTTACCCGAAGATGAAGAGTGAATTGATAGATTCGTTGCACTCGAAATATCGTTATCATTGTTTTCTCTAAATATTCTATCGGTGGCAATTTCTGATTGTCCGTTATCCATATTTACAATGGCGGTGTAGTCGGTGGTGCTACCGAAAACGCTTTCTTTCTCGAATAAATCTTCTACTTTAAGTTCACCAGACGTCCGATGTGAAAGCGATTTCTTCAAATAGGTATCCGTTTCCCCGTAGCAACTATCGTCCGCATTGATCCGAGAAACATCGCGATTGTGCATCCCCTGCGTTGAATTGATTCTCTCGTCAGCTTTGTTGTTTATGATTTTCTCCCATGAGAATATGTATTTTTCAGTAACGTCGTCAAGTTCAAAATTATCATCAAAACTATCAAATGTCATTAAATCACTTTTCCTGAACTCGGAAGAATTCTTTTCGGCGGTGCCGTTTTCAATAATCAATTGTCTATCTTCGACATAATCCATCGCCTTTGTGGCACCAGTGAACACCTCATCCCCAGCGTCGTTCGCCAATTTTCTTTGACCAGCCAAAGGTTCGACAAATGAATCGCTCGTTATTGACGAAAGAGTTTTTCGGCTCTCTCTCTGAACATTTATCTTTTGAGACTTCCTTGTTCCTTCAGTGTCAGTACTTCTGATTGCTCTTTCAACGTTCCCCTTGAGATCATTGTGGCCATCAATCATCGACTCGCTTTTGTTAACAAAAGACTCATCGAATAAGTCGTCCTTTCCTCCTTGTTTTTCAGTATCGCTGTTTACATCAATCACCAATTTGATCGAGGACTCACCAAATGAATCGTGACACATTTTCTCGGCACTTGCAATACCGCGATGGGCGTCACTAACAAGGTTTCTTTTGTCCGCCAATGATACATCGGACGTTCTTTCAATGCTTGCAATGTCTTTTTGAATGACGCTCACCGAACTCCCTTTATCAGATGTTAAAAGAATTTTCGGTGATCCTCTGGTTGTAATTTGATTGCAGATGTTGCTAGCCGACTTCCTTTCGTCAACCGAAGACTCGCCGAATGATGTATCGTTCCTATTCTTCTCAGGGTTCGCAATATCGTTACAGATGTCGCTTATGGTCATTGACTCGACATGTAAGAGTTCACTATTGATGTATGTCTCTTGTT